TCCAGGAGAGAACTGGAGAGGACACCTGACCACCATTAAAGACAGGTAACTGCGAAAATCTTATTTAAAAATGACTGTTTTTATCTTTGACTATTCTACCTTGAACTCTTCTTTCATAATACTAAAAAAAAAAAAAAACACTTGCTTCTGAATCCTTAGATAAAAAAGTAGTTTTAATCCTTGAGAATATGAACTTTTATTGTGTACATAGGACTTCCAGAACTGAGTTTCAGTTCATTTCAGCACGTTAAACAAGGCCTGAGATGCACAATTGGAAAGGAGGTAAGCTAAGCAGAGCTAAGACAGAAAAACATGGAGAAAAGTAAGAGCTGCCGTCTTGTTGCATGGATTGTTTACTGTTTGGGAATTAAGGACTTTGTTTTTGGTTAGCTTTATGATACTTTAGCTTAGTCAGATATTTCCAAGTATCATAAAAATCAGAGCAGCTTTGGTGCATAAGCTGACGTCTCCTTGAAAGCTAAGTTACTATTTACATGCTACAGTAATTTGTATGGGTAGAAGGGTTCTGCTGTTTCACCTGATTTTCAGTAAAGACAAAATTAGTGATTCTTACATTAGGTTTCCTTAGGGATAACTTAAATACCTATTTCTATTACAGCATTTTATTAATACTTGTCAATTTTTATTTTAATTCTTATTATCGTTCTATTCGATACCTAGGGCTTTTCTGTTATATAGCAATTTGGCAACTGTAACTGTATTAATCATAAGAATATCTCCTCTGGATTAAGTTTTCTTTGTGATTCGTGGTAATATACTATGCAGTGTACTATTAAGCACGTTCTGAGTCTGCTGCTTTTGAATCCCACACACAACCAGCATAACTCACTTATCATGAGAGCAGAAGTTGTGCACTGTAGGATGGATTATTACGTTTGAGTGTGTGTGTGTGTGTGTATATATGGTATTACTGTATTGAAATAATTGACCAAATTCTAGGCAACTTTTTTTAACCTTTAGAGTTTTAAAATTCAGAAGTTGATTGTCTTGATTAAGAGGGTAGCTTATTATCTTGTTGTCTGTAAGAGCTAAACTGTCTTAGATGATCCCCCATTTTGTTGAGGGGTAAGAATCTGCCAACAGGCAGAGTGGGGACTTAGTGCTACATAGTATTTATTTTGTGATAACTGTCTGTGTGATCACTTTTTATCTTCCAATAAATATAAGCAAGTTTGAGGTAACCTACTCGGAATGAATTCAAAGTAAATTAAAATTATTTCAAGGAGGGGGGAAAAAAAGGTTGAAGCTTATTTTGCTTAAATTAGATGGCTGCTGACAGAAAAGATTCTTAGGATTTAAGAAAGTGGAAAAATTGGAAACCCTTTGGTCCTTAATGTAAAGGACAAAGCTCTCAAAGTACCTCTGAAACTCTTATGTGGAGCCTGTTACTAGACTTGGCTCTGTGGTCAGCTTAACTGGAATCTTAAAATGTGAGTCTTAAAATCCAGAAGAACTGATACAGAAAGATGTGATGTTGAAATGAAACTGATTTTAAAATGTTTTTCCTAAACTAAGCCTGACAACTTATAGGCTTGCTCTTAGGTTATTCTGATTTTGTATAAATATTGGCAGTTATATCCAGGATGCTTATTTCTTCTTCCTCTAGTACTGAGCTCCTAGTTTCTTTGAACTGTGATAGTTAGAAATTTGACCCTTAATGTTTGCTGAGCATAAATTTTTTTGTGGAGAGTTAAAAAAGCTGTGGTTTTCCAAGGTCAGCTATAGAAAGCTGCAGCTCGAATTTTTTGAGCCTGTGTTCAGATTACTGTATCGCATCTGACTTCGTGTTTGATGCATATGTGCCACGATACCCCAAATCCATCTTTGTTCCTCAAAAAAGTAGTTAAACAATCACTTAGTTGTAAGGACAGCTATATATCTTACAGAGCTGAAAGCCTTCAGTCTGGGAATTTCTCAGCATGCAATCATAAAATGATCAGTGAAGAGTTACAAAAATTGTCTGGCAATTTTAAAGGTATTATTAAAATCCAAACAAAAAAACACGACAAGAAAAGAAAGCTGCAATTAGACTAAAGGTGTAATCTTACAAAATGCTGACTGTTCTTAGTGTCTGTTAGTTTTAAAAGGTGAACTTGGCACTTTCTACTCCCACTCTTTTTGGGAATCCGTATTGAGAATGCACAAGAAGTGGCTTCACAAGCGTTGGTTGGTGTTAGGTGGTTGGGGTGGGTTAGTTTCTCCCCTTCTTTCCCGGCTCTCTCCCCCCCCCCCCAAGTAATCTGAAAGTGGTAGCTGCAGAAGAATCCAAGTAAAGCACGGTTCATGCATAACAAAGTACTTATATTTAAGCTAATTTTGAGATAGTTTCATAACACTTCTTTAAGCTTTCCTTTAGTATTGCCAAACTGTGAAGTTCCTTAATGCAATTATGTTTATTTAATGGTAGCTTTATAGATATATGAACAGCCAGTCTCCTTGCTTACAATAATGTGTAGGCTAAGCCTGCAATGGTCACAGTGGGCTGAGTGACTGGAATGTATTCTTCCTATGCAGCAATGAATGTCCATTGTTGGGATTCCACATGTAACTTTATGAAATCAGTAGATGCACTGTTAACAGTACAATTAATGTAGTCTTAGTATATTTTTAGGTAGCAATCTGTATGTTAATATATACCAAATATCACTTGCTGTGAGAATTTGGCATTTCTGATTGTGGTGGCTTTTTAAACACTTAAAGCTCAAATCCTGCAATTGAGGAGGAGATTTTGTTACCTGAGTTGATGTTTTACTTATGAAATAAGCCTTCTGGATGGATTTCAAGAAGAATGATTGCTCCTTCAGTTCAAAGTATGCCCAGCTATGTGAATATAGGCTACTGGACAGACTGCAATAGAAAGGAAAAATGTGAAATATCAACAACATAACTTGTGTATAAGAGAAGCTTAAGTGAAAGCAAGTAGGGAAGGATTCATTGTTCGGTAGCCAGAAACAACCAAAGACCTGTTCAGACTAAGTGTCGTCTTATTAACTGCCTGCTGGACAAGCTGTTTGATTCTGTGTTTTCTTAGTACATTTTCTTATTTTATTTCAATTTCTTAGTACCATGGCTAGAGTGTCCAGTCTGGTGATGAAGAGAAAAGCTGGATCTCCTGTGTCAGGTTCTTGGCAGAAGTGCTCAAGAACTTTAAAGAGAGCTAAGACATGATTGACTCTGTATATTTCTTTAGTGTGTGTTTTATCTATTTTTTTCCTTTATCATGTAGTTATTAAAGAGGTAAGCTTGGAAATATTTCTAGTTTTCACCCACAATCAGAGATGCAAGTCAAGAACTGCACCCATGAGGTTTTTTCTATATTTTTAGCTCATTAGTTTGTCTTAAAATGTATATCTGCAAAACTTCAAAATAAGCCTTCAAAAAAAAAAAAAAGTAACATAGTTCACAAAGAATGCAGTACAGTAATTGACAAAGCAACTTGCTTCTTAGGATGTGCAAAGTCAAAGTCACCTGATGTTTTCTCCCTTCCTGCCCACCCTTATCTGGTAGTTTTGTGGGGGGGCATGGAAGTTCTTGGCAACGATGTATTTTTTGACCTGGTATGGAGTTGTGTCCTGTATTGACTGTTTCTTGAGTTTATAGCGGGTAACCAGAGGGACAATTAGGAAAAAAAAGAAGGAACAGATGGCACATGGAAGTGATTTTGGTTCCCATTTGATTTCCTTCAGAATGTTTTAGGGCAAAGGCCCCAGTTGTGGGACATGAAACAACAAAATTAGCTAGATATTTAAAAATATATTTGTTCTGTCTCTCAAGGTGTAATTATTCTGGGAGATCATATTAAAAGCCACAGGTAGCTGCGGAAGTTAGGCCTGTCATGTTTTGCACCTTGGAACAAGTATGTGTTGTGCTAGGACGCTCTGGGAACAAAAGGCCAACTCAGAACAACCAACATGGGTGTCTGCTGTAGTGGTTTTTGACGGCCTCTGCCGTTGCTTGGGAATCTCGGCAGCACCAGGTTGGCTAGACAGTAGTCATGCAATTTGAGTAAACTGGTGTGTGCTCTGCAGTGTTGTCTCACTTGTGCTGCTCGGGAATCTGCTCTGACGTGCCAGCAGCCTTCTCGGAAAGGGTTTGGGGTCTGGATTTTCATGTTCCCTATTGTTCCATTCTCTCATCTTTTCTTTTATACTAGTTTTCAATGTCTTTGCTTTTTCACTATTAAAAACATACATCCTGGACAGATCCGTGGAGGTTTCCTGTCTGTGTCAGAGACAGTGAGATGCGGTTTAGGATTTGCAGAACTACAACAGTTACCAAAGTTTCTGGCCAAACCAAGAAAAGACAGTCTTGGTCTGGGAAACCAAGAGTGCTGAGGAGTGGATGAGGTGAATGAAGAAAACTATCCAGACGCTGCTTATGATTACTGACATGGCTGTAGAGGGTAGAGTGGTGTTTCTGGATCTGGGAAATAAACACTGAATGGTGGCATTGACTGACTGTAGCTGCTGGCCTTTTTCACCTGGAGCAGTCAGCTTCCTACAGCTGTGTGGTGATCTTGCTACAAAGCAGGAACAAAAGAGCTTCTTAACAGTGAAGAAACAAGTAGTGATTAGTCTCAGGAAAATAGCCATCTATAGCTGCTTTCTGTTTGGGTATAATCAGCTTGGTATTAGAAAATCTCTGGAGGAATTGGCCTTGTGCACCTGGATGATGCCACTGTAACTTAATGTTGCTGAGACAGGTCAACTGAAAGAATGTTTCTGTCTCAGTTGCCTTCCACTGTCAAAGTCTATTAACGTAGACTACCACAGAGGGATCTTAGAAGCAGAGGTATCACAGAATGGCCAAGGTTGGAAGGGACCTCTGGAGATCATCTAGTCCAACCTCCCTGCTCCACCAGGGTCATCTAGAGCATATTGCCCAGGATCACATCCAGGCGGGTTTTGGATATCTCCAGCGAAGGAGACTCCACAACCTCTCTGGGCAACCTGTTCCAGTGCTCTGTCACCCTCACAGTCAAGTTTTTCCTCATGTTCAGATGGAACTTCCTGTGGTTCAGTTTGTGCCCGTTGCCTCTTGTCCTGTTGCTGGGCACCACGGAGAAGAGGCTG